GTATGGACTGCAGGATGGAGTGCTGGTCTGAAAGCCACCGGGGAGGTTTCTCAGTCCCAGCTGATCTAACCCTATACTGACATCATCTCTTGTTGTCTTTGCTGCAGGAAAATGCTGAAAAACAATAATAAACCCAAAGATGAGAAAGGAGGGCCTGGAGACCCGCTGATCATTCCCCCCAAAGCCGACACCCCCAAGCTCTTCCAGGCTGCTCTGGCTGCTGTAGGGAAGACAGGAGGCAGAGGGCACCTGGCACAGCTGCGCTGGAAGCTGAGGCAGCTGAAGGCGATGCAGGAGGCACAGGTCAGAATGGGGAGAGTGAGATGGGCAAACAGTTGGGAGGGAATGCAATGCAGCCTCGAGGTAATATACCCAGAGAGGTGCTGAGCACGGTGCTTCGTGAAGGCACGGTGAGGCTTCGTGCAGGTCCCTCTCCAGAGCACATTGCTATACTGATGGAGCTACCCCCTTCTCTGTTGGAGCCAGGGCATGAGTATGAGCCCATTGGGAACCTCTGCAAAGCTTTTCCAATGATGGAGCCCTCAGGGGGGCAAAGCAAGAGTTGGTGCTTTGGGTGCAAGGAAGCTTTGTTGTGCCCGTCCTACCTTCCCTCACCTCAAAGCATGCTGGTTGCAATCCAGCTGCAGATCTTTGAGGTCCCTTCCAACCTGAGCCATTCGATCAGTCTCATGTGGCTCACCTCAGAGAGCATGGTGAGCGGTAAAGCTCCCCAAAACACCCTGCTGCCTTTGTGCAGCGTGGATGCCGAAGTCCGGGGATGTGGCTGGGGTCCTGCTGTGAACAAGGGTCTCCCTAGGCTGATTTTGCCCTTTTTAATCTTTGTACTTCAGGATCCCAGTTTCAGTCCAATACCACCAAAGTCACCGGTGCACCGGAGGTCACCCACTGCCTCTCCCAAAGCAAGGCCCCCTCCAGGAGAAGAGATATCCTCAAAATCTGCTGATAATTTAGTCGCTATCCGTGTGATTCCTACAGCCCAAGAGGATGAGGAGATACTTGCTGCTGAGATCTCGGAGAAAGAAGATGAGAAAGAAGAAGAGAAAGAAGACAAGAAAGAAGAGAAATGAGAACCAAGCTGCTGTGGGTGCTGGTGGCGCGATAGGAATTGGGCGCATGCCTTGGGTAGAAGCTTTCAGTCATTAATTATTCCTACAAATTGGAAGTAGGCATTGCTAAATAGGTGCTGCAGGTGGGCTCTGCCTTTCTTCTCTGCTTAGGCCTTCATCCACTGCCAAGGGAACCCGGAGCTGTATGAGGTGGTGAGGGGTGGGCACAGCTGCATGGGGTGGGGGTCACCATCTCTGGGAGGTATCCTAGAGTTGAGGGGATGTGGCCCTGAGGGACATGGTTTAGATTGGCCACGCGTTGTGATGGTAGGACTAGATGGTCTCAGTGGTCTTTCCAGCCTTCATGATGCTATGATTCGAAGTTCTGTGCTGTGGAAACCTGTTCTATAGAGCATCTGTGTGCACGTTGCCTCTAAATATCAGGCCGGAGATCTTACAGAGGGACAGCCCAGAAGAATCAGCTTTTTATGTCTCTGAATGGTTAATGAGTGCCTGCTCAGATAAAGCACGAAGAGTTTTTCACCTCCAAAGCTGAGTCACCGGAGGGAAAACAACAAGACTTCTCTGTTGGACCCAAGGTCGTCACAAGCAGCGGGAGCGTGACTCATCTGGAAAGGATCTGGGCTGCGATCCGGAGCCAAGCACAGACTCAAATCACCATAGTGAGTGCACAGGGGGACCCCCTGGCCTCACACTGCCAGCCAACAGCTCCTGGGGAGGGGAAAAAACCCGAACGTCAAGGAACTCCAGCATGCCCCATGGGCAGCCACTGCCCTTAACATCGCATAGGAAACCCCAGCCTCCTTCCCAGCCTCCCTCTGTAGTTTGTGTCCTCAGCTATTTGCACGTGGCTCCCTGCTGGGTAGAAGCAAAGTGCTTGGCAGTACAGAAATACCTCTATAAACAAACCAGGAAATGTGGCAAAGTCAGGCTGATGTGCTGCTGTGATTTTGATACGGCTTAGTGGAACAGTTTACATTGGTGGTGCTCTGTAACAGCTTTCATAATCCACCCTATCTACAATAAACACCACTTAGATTACCACTCTTTCATTTCATTTTTCCTAATATCCATCCCTTTGCCTGATATCCATCCTTTTTCTTGGTACCCAACCTTCTTCCGTTCCCAGAAGGAGGAAAGAAAGAACAAAGAGCTTTCTGAAGTGACAAACGCTCGCACGAGGATTTGAGTTTTCAACACTCGGCATTAGGAGATAATGGAAACATAACTGGTAATTCTGGAAGCACATGAAGGCTTAAAGCCATCCCCCACTGGACCTGTTTACGGCTTTAGCGCTTTGGAGATTATTCCCAGGTAATAATTAAGGTCGAGGTGGGGTTGGGCTTCCAGCCCGCCTCCCTTTGCCACGCAAGGCTGTTGGGATAGGGCAGCTCCATGTTCATCCTGCTGGCTGGGGGCTGGCCATTAATCATCCCTCTGCTGCAACCCACAGCTCTGTTGCTACTCTTGCAATGGGCACTCTTTGTGCTGGCTCCCATTGAACATATCTTCACTGCGTTTCCTTTCAGCTTTTGCTTGCTCCATTTTGATGTTGGCTAAGCATTTTATCGATCCACAATGAGATGCTCTAATAATATTAATGCAGTATATGGGGATCTGTCCACGCAGCCACCATTGCCAGCCCAGCACTGATAGCTGCGCTGGAAATTCTGCATTGCAGACTTCTCTCTCACTTCTATTTCCCTCATTTCACCCATTTAGCTGAGGTTTATAATTGCAAACACTTGCCTGCTTCCCTTTTCCTACAGCCAGAGCCTGGGCAGGTATCTTCTCTATTTATAGTGAGAGCAATCTTATAAAAAGATTAAGTGCAATTGCAGGTTAATCGCCGATAAGGTTATAACGAAAGTAAAAACAAATAAGCAGGTTTGGGGATTAGATCTGGGCCTAAAAGAAATTGCAAGATAAATGGAAAGTCCCTCTAAGTGGCATTTAATTATAAAGCTTGAAATGAAATGAAGCGTTTCGATCTCGAAACCTGGAGATCTCAGCCAGCACAACACGCTTCTAAAATGAATGCTGTCTCTGTCTATGCATTTTTTTCTGTTGCATGGATCTGCTTAGAGTCAAGGCTGCAGTCCTGCCCCTGAATCCAGCTTGGTGCGAAGCAGAGCTGAGCGATGCCTGCTTTGCTCTGCTGGAAAGGGGAGCATCTCAGACTGCATCTCAGCTGCAGTCATTTGGAATTAACACCCCGAAATAAGGAGTGACGTTCTTCCTTTGATAGGATCAGAGAATCATTAAGGTTGGAAAAGACCTCTAAGTCCATCCAGTTGACCTACCAATATTGCCTGCTAAACCACATCCCTTTTCTCACCGTTCCCTCATCTACTTGTTCTCCTTTTGGGATGAAACTTTCCAAGTGTTCGTTTCCAATCCCTCGGGGAGATCTGAGCAACATCCAGCGAGTTGGCTTTGAGTCATAGGAAGAATTACATATCCATGTTATTATTTCATTCCATTTCCCCCTTGTGGAGGTTGCTGGATGCATGTGAAGAGCTGGAAGTCAAAGGGATGTGGTCAGTGGGCATGGGGGGAGAGGGGAAATCAGACCTGGGGAGCTTAGAGGTCTTTTCCAACCACTATGGTTCAATGTCAGGTAGGGCAAAAACAACCAGAAAAGAGTGATAGATGAAGTAGAGGGGCTGTTGCACAGGAACGTATTGCCAGCCCTGGCTGGGACTGCTGGGAGCACATGGCACAGCATGGCATGACATGGCATGGCTTGGCATGGGATGGGATGGCATGGCATATGATGGCATGACATGGAACGGCATGACATAGGATGGCATAAGATGGCACGGCATAGCATGGGATGGGATGGCATGGCGTGGAATGGCATGGCATAGGATGGCATGGCATGGAGTGACATGAGATGGGATGGCATAAGATGGGATGGCATAGCATGGGGTGGGATGGCATGGTGTGGAATGACATAGGACGGCATAGCGTAAGATGGCCTGGCATGGGATGACATACGATGGCACAGCATGGCATGATATGGAATGGCACAGGATGGCAAGGCACAGCATGGCACAGCACGGCATAGCACAACATGGGATGGCATAGGATGGCATGGCATGGCATGGCTCTGTCCTAGCACAAGGTGGAGGAATGAGGAGCAGCCTGACGATTGGCTCAGCCCAGATAAGAGGTTCCTTTGTACTGCAGAAATGCCGATATCACGTGCAGCTCTCTCTGCTGCCATGGTTACTGCCTGCTGCAGTGCATGCAGCACAGCAGTGTGACCATGCTGAGCTGGGAAGTGCAGCAGCAGCATGGCTCTGGGTCCTCCTGCAGCACTGGGCAGTGTCCCATCACTTTCTACATGAACGCTTTTTTCATTAAAGTGTTTTACTGAGCGCTAATTACGTTGGTTTTCCTTCTGTAAATGAGCCCGATATGATCTGTGTGTCTTGGCAAACAGCCTCGAGAACAGTAACCAAAGCCTTTTTGTTTGATTGCTGTTTGCTTTGCAAATCTCCCTGCTCTCACCGTTCCTGGCTGCCTTCAGACAGCCCGCACGTGCGGGTAGATGGGAGGGAAATGGGGCTCTGTGTCATTCCTCCTGCAGGAACAGGAAAGGTTTGGGTGTTCCTGAGGCCCTGGGGTCAAGGCGAGGGGTCGGTGGGTGCTGGGACCGCCGTTGTCCCCATTGCTGTGCGTTCAAGTGGGGTGGCACTCAGGGAGCAAACCCGCTCCCATCTGAGCACAGTTATCTGCAGAGGGAGAAAAGTCCACCTGTCCACCCATCTAAGAAATAGGTTATGTCAGCAATTTGCAGGGCTGGGCTTTAATCTGCTCTTAAGGCAGACAGGAGCAGAGGGGACGTTGCTTTCTCCTCCTTTGCAAACGGAGCGCTCTGCAGCAGCTGCTCTGGGCACCTTTAGGGGAGCAGGTGGTGCCATGCATGCGCTGGGTGCTCTGGCTGCTCTCTCACTGCTGGGCTGGACCAAGGGCAGCAAACGGCGGAGTGTGGCTCTGCAGAACACCGGAGGACTTCCAGGAGAGAGGCGGTGGGGGGCAGGGCCCGGCCTCCAGGTGAGAGGTGTGGGATGGGAGCGATGGAGGTGAGCAGCCGCGTCCATCTGTTGCCATGCAGCTCCGAGCCGTGCGCCAGGTGTGGGTGTAGGGCTGTGCATTATATATGAGAGGTGTGAATAATGCATGGCAGGGTAAGTTTGCAGTCCGAGCAGTCGGGGGGTGGCGGAGCTGTGCCATAGCTCTCCAAGGATCCCCCTCCAGCAGGGCACAGGGTGACCACGACAGCACTGCTCTTCCCACAGAGGCTGCTATGGCTGCGTGTCGCTGTGGGATTCAGCGCTGAGCAGCCAGGCCGTGTGCTCAGTGTCCGTTAGTGGCACAGCCGCTGACATCAGCCTCCAAACTCCGTTCCCTAAATTATTCACAATTACTGCTTGAGCATCTCCTCCAAAACCAAGCATGCTTCTGAGGGCACTAAAAATAGAAGGCTTCGCTGAGGACAGGATGCATTTTTTAAAGGAGACTGCTGCCATCCCTTCTGCTGGTGCTCGCACCTCCTGCCCAGGCAGCTGCAGGCTCTGCTCTTGGGGATAAGAAGGGCAGGGATGGGGCCAGGCCCTGCAGGGACCTTCGAACTGCACAGCAGGAGAAAAAGACCCGGCTGCTGATGTTGGGTGGGTGAGTGAGGGCTGCTCCGGACCACCTGAGCGCTGCCCTATCTCAGCATCGCTGCCTGCGGGTTGGGTTAATTCCCTCTGTGAGCTTGGAAACGAGTACAAATTTCTCACTAAGACTTAATTAAAACTCGCTAAAGAGCTTAAATGGCGACAAGGGAGTGTGGGGTTTCTTTAGTCGCTCCTGTGGGCTCAGCATGGAGATCCCCTCGCTGGGGCTCTCGGGGAGGAGCAGAGTTACAGCACTGAGCTGTGTTATCATTAATTGCTCTCTGGGGATGCATTCTCCATCTGATCCTCCTGGTGGCAATTCCCTGCAGAGAGCACCCAGGTATGCCCCCACCTGCATTCCTGCCATCAGCTTGCTGGGAGGGAATGGAGGGGGGAGGTTAAACTTTTGCTAGGATATCATATTTTCCCCCCATCTCCCCGGAGGTGTTGCAGATGTAGGTTAAATATTTGCTTGGGGCGAATGCAAAGGGCCCCCATCAGCACAGCGGTGCAATCAATGGGGCTTCCCTCCATCCACACTCATGGGCAAATGGGGGGAAATGGGAATGAAGCCGCCTGACTGAGCAGATCTCTCATTGCACAACACACACAGGAGGTGGCAGCGGGGCTGGCCGCCCTCCTGCTGCTCTCCCAGCGCTCATTGATTCCGGGCCGGCACTCGGATGTCTGCTCTCAGGCTGGCAGCGAAGAGGGAGGCTTTGCAGACAGGGAAAAAGCTGCTCTAAAAGGAAGGGCAGAGCCCGCGGCGCCGCGTTGGAACGTGGAGAGAAAGCAAAGGCAGCACTCAGTGAGCTGGGGATGGAGGGGGGCTGGAGGGGGGCAGCCCTATTCCTCACAGCACCCGCCGCGGGGTGACAGAGGGGCTTGTTTCAATGGGGAAGAGCCCTGAGGGTGGGGATTTCCGTCCTCATCCCCAAATACCGTTCTCAGGCTGAGCCCCACCGACAAGGTGGGCACCCAAATCTCCTGGTGCATTGGGGTTATGCTTTGGGAGCCATCCATCTCCCTCTCCCCTCGTCCATTCAAGTCCCTTTTGATGTAATTATGCTGCATAATCGCAGTGCCATCAAAAACCTGAAGCATTGAAAGGACAGGAAATGACTTAACGCCCAGAACCATTTGCATAAACATTATTTTGCCCTCACAGCTCGTAAATTAAGTAAGTCAGTGACGATACGACGTTAGAGTCTCTGCTGGAATGCTTACAGTCACCTCGCGTCCGTCCTCATCATCGCTGAATCAGCAGCAGCAGCTGCACGGACATGGGGAGCCCTGCGTGGTGAACCCCGACAGCATCCACAGTGGGGCTGAGAGGGGCTGTGTTAGGCTGTGTAGGGCTGTGAGGGGCTGCGTGGGGCTGAAAGAGGTTATGTGGGGATGTGTAGGTCTAGGAGGGGCTGAAAGAGGTTACGTGGCTGTGTAGGGGCTGTGTGGGGCTATGAGGGGCTGTAAGGGGCTGAGAGGGGCAGAGTTGGGCTATGTACAGCTATGAGGGGCTGAGTGGGGCTATGTAGGGCTATGTAGGGCTGAAAGGGGCTACATGGAGCTCTGTGGGAATGAGAGAGGCTGTGTAGGGCTGTGTGGGGCTAAGAGGGGCTGTAAGGGGCTGAGAGAGGCAGAGTTGGGCTTTGTGGGGTCGAGAGGAGCAGCGTGGGGCCGTGCGTCCCCCAGGCACCGCCGTCCGTCGGGGGTCCCGGGCGTTGCCAGGGCAACGAACCGGGGCGGAGCAGCCCGGTGCCGACGCTCGGATGGGCGGGACCGGGGCGGGGAACGGAGCGGCTGCGGGCGGCCGGTGAGCGGCACCGGGAGGGCACCGGGAGCGGGCGGGGCCGGGCCGGGCCGGGCTTCCCTTTGTCTGCGGGACGGCGGTGGGCGGGACCGGGGTGCGGAGCGGGGACGGCGGAGCTTTGCGAGGCGCCGAGCCGCTCTCCCCGCGGACGCCGAGGGGTCGCCGAGCCGGGGAACCCCGTGCCATGCCGGCGGCCCGCCCGGGCCGGGAGCTGCCCCCGCAGCGTGAGTACCGCACGGCTCGGCGGAGGGGCGGGGGGAGGAACCGGCAAGCCCGCATTCTTCGCATTGCTGCGCGGCCGGGGAGCGGGAGCGAGCTGCAGGGGCGTGGGGTGCCCTGCGGGCTGCGCGTCCTCCTGCCGGTCTGCTTCGGGTCTCAGGCGCTCCGCAAAGCGACGTTTGGGGCGGTGCAGGAAGGGTCCGCCCCGTCCGTGGGCTCGGGCTGCGGGCTCCGCGCTGCCGCCGCCGTCGATCTGCGGGGCCGGCCGTCCCCGCTCAGCGCTGCGAAAGGAGGGGAACTTTTGACCGGGGCGGGCAGCTGATCCGTGCCGTTCCTTTGCAGAATCACCTCGCCAGCACTTTTTTTTTTTTTTTTTACTGGTGGCATTAAAAATAGATTTTTATTTTTTTTTTTTCCTTGCAAGCTGGCGAATGCGGAATTACACAACAGCCCGGACTTTTTTGACCTTTGCCATATTCCTCTCCTCTCCTCCCTCCTTCTGGGTTTTCCTTTGGTGTAGCAGCTGGAAAAGCCCCGGCACTTTGCATTCAATCTTGAGACACTGGGGCCTTGCTGAAGCCCACCCAGCACACAGGCACCAACGTGTAACGGGCAGACCCGAAGGCAGGCTGAGTTCCTCTTGACAATAGAGGGTGGGGACGTGGGACCATCCTTGCAGTGCCCGGACGGTGTGGGGGTGACCTGGGGACGTGGGGCTGGAGGAGCACACCCAGTGGGATGGCACAGAGAGGCCGGGAGCCCAGCAGCACGTTTCACCCTGCAGGCACAGGTCTTGCTGGAGGACGGCCAGCAGCCGGCCCTGCCACGCACCACGGAGGAACCACCAGCATCCCCACGTGAGCCTGCAGTGCCAGGGCAAGCAGCCTGCACCATGAGCCTGGAGAAAGCCGGTGAGGGGAGCGTGGACATGGCCAGGACTGAGGGGTGGGGGCTGGGGAGCAGCCAGGGGCGCACACACCTTCACATCCTCCAAAAGGGGCCTGGTGCCCATGCAGGTGATGCACGTGGTGTCTCCAACTGGAGCATCAGTGCCTCCCTGAGTCGTGCCTAGCACAGCTGGGTGGAGGCAGTGCTCACCAGGGGGAGGGCAGGAGGGTCTGCTGCCTTCAGCTTTGGGTTTCCTGTCTGTGGGGAGGGAGCGGGTGCTGAGTGAGGCTGTGCACGCAGCCTTGGGCAGGAGAACAAAAAGCAGCAGTCTTTCTGGAGGTAGTGCCAGGCGCACAGATTCCTGGCTGTCCCTCTTTGCTGCCTCTTTGCTCAAAGAAAGCACAAGTCCCCACAGCTGTCAGTACTCAGGACAGCTGAAGCCTTGCAGCATGTGTGTGAAACACAACTGGCACACGGCATCAGCCTGCCTGCAGGCAGCTAAGCAGCTCCCAGCATCACCTTTTGCCTTCCAACCTTCTCTTTCCAGGCAAGGCAGGGAGCAGCCCGGATCCATGCTGCCGGTTCCACCGGCACTGCATGGCAGTGAGTCAGGCCAGCTTGTCTCCTGCTGGAACCACGGAGCAATTTAGGGCTTCGTTTGCAGAAAGCTGTGTTTAAACTCATGCCGTGAAGGTCAGAAAGTCGCACTCAACAAGCAGTGCCACCATTTGGGTCGCCTGTGTAATTTGAATTTGGCTTCCATTACGCTGCCGTGTTCAGTGACGCAGCCTTTAATAACACCATCCCATGCTGTTTTTCCACCAGCACCTGCTCATTCGGGGAAAAAAAGGATGAGGTGCTGAGGGGGTGAATCAGAGGCAGCAGCGGGGCTGGGTGGTGGCACGTCCACACAGGGCACCCTGGGGTGTGCCGTGGGATGCCGGCATCCCTCTGTCTGTACCACAGGCAGGCATCGGTGTCGCTGCCCTCCCACAGGGACCCCCGGCACTGCTGTGCTCCTGTTGCTGTGTCCCTCGGGTTTCTGTCCCCGCTGAGTGCCCGTGTCCCCCTGGGGCTGGCTGATCCCGACCCCGCTGTGCTCTCTCTTGCCGCAGGGGGTCGGTTTTGCAGCGGGAAGCGCGCCGGTCTGCCGGCCCAGCGGCCCTTCCCTGTCATCCAGAAGGTGGTGGCATCCATGGCTCACCTGCAGGAGGAGAAGCTGCGGCTGCAGGAGGAGCTGCTGGCTCTGCAGGAGAAACTGGCCGCCCGCGAGAGCGAGGAGATGGCCGTCTCCGTCCAGCTGCGAGGGCAGGTAGGGGGGCTCTGGGCACGCTCCGGGCTTCCAGCTGTGGGTTGTGATCTGTAGCATGAGGGCTTGGGGTGCTCGAGCCGTCTCGAGTGAGGAGCAGTCAGGGCTGTGTCGGTGCTGGCTGTGCTGCTGTGGGGGGGGGGCTGGCCTCGGTGTTGACCCCCCCTGATGTTTCTCGTCCCGGTGCAGACGCAGCTGTGGATGTGAGGACCTTCCTCATTACAGGGAGATTGAAACCCAGGCTGCTAATAAAGGGATTTGCATGTGGATGTTGTGGAAGCTATTACAGTCAGGTTTGGCTTGTTCCACTGGTGTCAAAAAGGTGGATGTAATTGTCCTGGATCTGGTTGGCATAGTCTGCATGACACAAGCAGGACAGGCAGCTGGCGTGCTGGGGCTGTACGGCACGGGGTAAACCTGGGCTCCGGGAGCTCAGCAATGGCCGGGCCGTGCCTCAGCCCCCAGCCCACTGCCAAGGAATCCCTGAACGGCCTGGAGAGCAGGCTGCAGCCGGAGCTGCCTGAGGAGGTAGGGCATGGGGCTGTGCTGGCGTAGCAGGGCACCGCACTGAGGAGCAGAGGAAGCAGCTCCTTTCCCCATTGAGCTTCTGCTGGACATGTGGCTGGGACCTTTCAGCTCTGCATGTGGAGCTGTGTGCTTTTCCGTGAGGTTTATCCTTGAGGTTCTGAAAGGTGTGGGGACGTGGCTGGGGCTGGAAGCACGTGGGGAGCGCAGCCCTGCGGTGTGCTGTGTGTCTGAGCAGGAGGGTGGTGGCTTAGCCGTGGCTCTGTGTCCCCCCCCTCCCATCTGGAGCACCGACGGGCTGTGCTGAGAAAGGGCTGAGGGACGGAGGAGGAAGGGTTGAGTTGAGGTCCTGGCTCTGGGAGCAGCCTCTGCCGCCGGCACACGCAGGAGGTGCGCTCGGGCAGCTTGCCGCGCCGCCGTCGCTGCAAAGGAGTGGCTTATAACTTATCATAATTAATTACAGCACAATGTGAGCGCGTTCGTGTTTGTTATAAATCAGCAGCTCCTAGATGATGATCTGTGGAGGTTCAGAAAAGGCTGCTGTTGTTTGCATGGGGCGACAGCCTCACGCTCCCTGGGTTGGGGGTTGGCGCAGTGCCTTATCACCAGGCAGAGCGTTCGGAGGGGAAACCCTTTCTAAGGAGCAGAGCGTTGGGAGGCACAGCTTTGCGCTTCCAGCGGAGCTTCCCCATGTGTGCAGGTTGAGAACCTGAAGGCAAATCTCCGGGAGCAGGCGCAGGAGATCGGCAGGCTGCGCTCGGAGATGGTGAGCTCACTGGTGTGGGGGTGAGCGGGCTCGGGAGGCTGCTGGTGGGGCTCCCATCACACGCTGACCCTCCGCAGGGCGGCACGGATGCGGAGAAGCACCGGGACCTGCTGGTGGCTGAGAACGAGCGGCTGCGGCAGGAGATGAAGGCACGTGAAGGGGAGCTGAGGGAGCTGCGGCGGCAGCAGGCGGCGTGCCGGGACTGCACCCACCTCCAGGTGAGCTGCTGGGGACCGGTGGCTGCTGGAAGGGCTGTGGGTGCCACAACCTCGGCTGAGCCTGCTTTGGGGCCAGGAGAACGCCGGGCTGCAGGAGCGGCTGTGCCAGCTGCAGAGAGAGGCGGAGGAGACCCGAGCCAAGCTGGCGGAGCTGGAGCTGGAGGTGCAGCAGAAGACGAACCGCCTGGCCGAGGTGGAGCTGCGGCTCAAAGATTCGCTGGCCGAGAGAGCGCAGGAGGAGGAGCGGCTCAGCCGGCGGCTGCGGGACAGCCAGGAGACCATCGCCAGCCTCAGGGCTCAGCCCCAGCAGATAAAGGTGAGCCTCCTGCTGGCTGCATAACAGTGCCCTGCGTCAGTCCTGCGGTGCCACTCTGCTGCTCTGTAAATCGTCCCCCTCTGGGTGACCTCTGTCTGTAATACACCATCATCTGTGGGTGCTTTGTGCAGTACATCATCAAGACCGTGGAGGTGGAGTCAGCCAAGGCGAAGCAGGCCCTGTGTGAGAGCCAGTCCCGAAACCAGTACCTGCAGGAGCAGGTGGGGATGCAGAGGCAGGTGCTGAAGGAGATGGAGCAGCAGCTGCAGAGCTCCCAGAAGACAGCAGCTCAGCTCAGGGCACAGGTACGGGTCCGCAGGCGCAGCAGCGCAGCAGTGTGAACCAGGCAGCACCTGGGACGGATGTGCATGCATTGTTGGTGCTGCCTCACCCCCAGATTGCCATGTACGAGTCGGAGCTGGAGCGGGCCCATGGGCAGATGCTGGAGGAAATGCAGGTGATGGAGGACGAGAAGAACCGTGCCATTGAAGAGGCGTTTTCCCGTGCCCAAGTGGAGATGAAGGCGGTGCATGAGAACCTGGCGGGTGAGGAGTGCTCAGGGCTCGTGGGGCTCACAGGGTCAGGGCTGCGTGTCTTCACCCTGTGCTGGAGCCACTCATCCTCACCCTGCGCTGCCCACAGGCGTGCGGACCAACCTGCTGACACTGCAGCCGGCGCTGCGCACCCTCACCCACGACTACAATAGCCTGAAGCGGCAGGTGCGGGACTTTCCCCTGCTCCTCCAGGAGACCCTGCGGAGCGCCAGGGCCGAGGTGAGCCCAGGGTCAGCACACAGCCCCTCTCCCTGCACGGTGTGGGCAAGTGGCTGAGCGCTGTTCCTTCACCCAGATCGGGCAAGCCATCGAGGAAGTGAACAGCACCAACCGGGAGCTGCTGCGCAAATACCGCCGGGAGCTGCAGCTCCGCAAGAAGTGCCACAATGAGCTGGTGCGGCTGAAAGGTGCGGCGGGGCCGGGCTGCCGGGACAGCTGGGTGCCGCAGCGGGGCTGATGCTGCCTCTGCTCCCCCACCAAGGGAACATCCGTGTCTTTGGGAGAGTGCGCCCCATCACTAAGGAGGATGGAGAAGGTCCGGAGGCGGTCAGCGCGGTGACGTTCGATGCGGATGATGATGCCGTCCTGCACCTCCTGCACAAGGGGAAACAGGTGTCCTTTGAGCTGGACAAGGTGTTTCCTCCACAGGCGTCCCAGGAAGAGGTGGGTGCTGCCTCACGCAGCTCGCAGCGGGGTGGTGTGACAGCCAGGGGAGGGCTGCATCGTCCCCTGATGCCCTCTGGTCCCCTGCAGGTGTTTCAAGAGGTTCAGGCCCTGGTCACTTCCTGCATCGATGGGTACAATGTCTGCATTTTTGCCTACGGACAGACTGGAGCAGGGAAGACGTACACAATGGAGGTGAATTTGCCTGGCTTTGCCTCCCTCTTCTTCCTTGCCTTTCAACTGTGTTCGCCTCTGTGCCCTGTGTCTCAGTGCCATCGCTAACCCAGGCTGGGCGCTAATCCTGACTGTTGCTGCAATCCCTGAGCTTTGCTTCTGCTCAGCTGCATCAGAAAAATAGCAGAATGGATCATTTCTCTCCCCATTCACCAGGGAACCTCCACAAACCCAGGCATCAACCAGCGTGCCCTGCAGCTGCTCTTCTCTGAGGTGCGGAGCAAGGCGGCCGACTGGGACTATGCCATCAGCGTCAGCGTAGCCGAGATCTACAACGAGGCACTCAGGTATGGATGTGAGCCCTTGGCCAGGACACAGCATCACGTGGAGCCCTCAGAGCTCAGCGTTGGCCGTGTAAGGAAGCGCCAAGCTGGGCCCCGTCTCCCTTTGAGCCGTTTCTGCTTATTTGGGCTCCCCCCGCTTCCTCCACTGGGCTCCAAACTCCTTCCCCTTGGCCCGGCTCCCCGGCCTCGGCCGTTATATTTAGAAACTGCACTCTGGGAGCCAAGGGAATGAGAAACATTTTCCTGCCCTGCCCGGACGCTGGGGGAGTGACGGCAGCAGCCGCAGGGGCTCTGCAGCACTGCAGGGACCGGCACAGGCCCTGAGTGCACATCTGCATCGTGCTGCACCTCTGGAAGCAGCAGGCTCTGACCAGATGGGAGCTGAATGCTGACGGGTTCCCCCTCGCAGGGACCTATTGGGGAAGGAACCCCAGGAGAAGCTGGAGATCAAACTGTGCCCTGATGGCAGCGGGCAGCTCTACGTGCCTGGGCTGACTGAGTTCAGCGTGCAGAGCGTGGAGGACATCAATAAGGTGAGGCAGAGAGCCGGCGGTCATCCCACGGCGCGTTGGTGGCTCTGCGGCATCGTCCCAGGATGGGTGGCAACAGAGCCTGGGTGTGCTGCAGGGGGTTAGTGATAAAAGCATGGGGCCAGGATGGATGGCGGGTGAGCGGATCGCAGCCTCACCCCCTCCTCACCCTCAGGTCTTCGAGTTCGGCCACGTCAACCGCGTGACGGAGTGCACCAACCTGAACGAGCACAGCTCCCGCTCCCACGCGCTGCTCATCGTCACCGTCCGCGGCTTGGACCGCAGCACGGGGCTGCGCACCACAGGTGGGGGCCGTGCCCCCCGGCGGGGCTGCAGGGCGACGCTGGCGGTGCTGACCTTTATCTGTGCCCCCAGGGAAGCTGAACCTGGTGGACCTGGCGGGTTCGGAGCGCGTCGGGCGCTCGGGCGCGGAAGGCAGCCGGCTGCGTGAGGCTCAGTACATCAACAGGTCGCTGTCGGCGCTGGGGGACGTCATCTATGCGCTGCGCTCCCGCCAGGGCCACGTGCCCTTCCGCAACTCCAAGCTGACCTACCTGCTGCAGGACTCGCTCAGCGGGGACAGCAAGACCCTCATGATGGTGCAGGTCTGGGTTCCCTGTCCCCCCCCTCCTTTACGCTCTGTGCCACCTGCTGTGGCTTCTCTCTGCTGGTGACAGGGCTGTGCCTGGTGCGGCCGGGGGCTATCCTGGGGGCGGTGGGTTAATAATAGCAGCTCTCTGACCCCGTTGAGCAGTGGGGAGGGGGGGGTGTGGGTGACAGTTGGGTGATGTGCTGCTGCTGCTCCCACCTGCAGGTCTCCCCTGCCGAGAAGAACAGCAGTGAGACGCTGTGCTCCCTGAAGTTTGCCGAGCGTGTCCGCTCCGTGGAGCTGGGCCCTGTGTCCCGCAAGGCCGAGCTGGTGTCCTGGCCCAGCCAGGAGCAGCTGGAGGTACCTGCAGCTCAGCCAGCATCTTTCATTATGTGCCATTCCCGGAGGCATGAGCTGACCCGGGGCCGTGCTCCATCTCTCCCCAGGGTGACTTGCCGGGATCCTCCAGCCGGGGCCACGCGTCTCCCAGCCCTGGGCTGCCCAGCGGCCGCACCACCTCCATCCGCAGGAAGCTGCAGGCTTCAGGTGGGTAAGGGCATGCGGGGCCCCTCTCTGTGCTCCTGGGATGCCCAACCCGTGGCCTTCCATCAGAGGAAGCTCCCGGCCCACTGCTCACAAGCAAAGCTGCGTGTGGAGCGAGCTGTGCTGTAATCGGCTCATTAGCCACCGGCTAATTGGCTGTCAGGAGCCTAGTTAGGGCTTGCCCTGAAGTGCCCCGTCCCAGCACAGGGCAGTGCGGGGCCGTGTGGGGCAAAGCAGCTGGGGCTGCATGTGGAGCAGCCAGGGAGCGATGCTGCGGGTCAGCGCCTGCAGCTGAACCTCTCTTCTTTTTGATTTCAGCCTGAATTTTAGGGGCAGCCGCGGCTGCCAGGTGAGTGTGTGCAGCTGGGAGCCGGTGATGGGCTCTGCTTCAGCCCTGCTCCCCAGGCAGGGAGGTGTGCAGGGCTGTGCTGCTCGCAGGGGTGCTGCTGGGGTCGCATTGCTTGGGGGCTTGAACTGTGGTGGCTGTGCCCCCTGCTCAGCCTGATGCACGTGTCTGTGTCCCCACAGGGAAGCTGAGGCCGGTCCCTGTGTGACACATGCTGCAGGACCTGGCCCCTCACCCACCTTGGTGCCCCGGCCATGTTTGGAGCTGTGGTGGCATCCCCTCCTGCCATGGCACCTCTCACCATGAGACACGCAGCTCTGTGACTTCTAATTCTTGCTGGACAAATGGCTTTAGCCAGAGCAAGGAGCCTCGCCACCTCTTCAACTTCGTTTTTAGGGCAGTTGGGGTATCTGGCTGGAAGGATTGGGGCTGAGCACCTCTGCCTCACTGTGCTGGGGACACCACTGCTGCAGGAGCTTGGCATGGAGCAGCGAGCACCTGGGTGAAGTGCAGGATGAGGTTTGGTTTGGCGTGACTGCACCCAGCTCCCTGCCACGAGGTCCTGCTCCACCCCTTGCTCCCCAGCCTCTTTTGGAGCAGCACAGCCCAGATTTGAAGCCAGAATAACCCCAGCAGCTCCTTTCCCTGTTGGATTCTCCTGCCCAATTGCACGAAGGCGCCCCGGTGCTGCTGCATGCACCCTGCCCAAAGGGAGAGCAGCCGCAGGGCTTGCCCCCCTGGCACCAGCAGGGGCTTTGCAGTCTTGAAGGAAGCTATTGTAAAGTGAACAGTTGTCTTCTCAAGAGAGATCACAGTGTGGTCAAGACGAATGTGTTTGAAATATTTATAAGCTGTTTACATGGTCTTGGAATGAAAACAAGAAACTCTCCAGCCCAGTGCTGTCGGAGTATGTGTGGTAGTGGGAGCTGACGGGGGCATGGAGGAGCAGTGGGAGCCCCAGTGCAGCTCCTGGCAGCTGCAACCACGCAAGGTATGCACTGCACCTTCCAGCTCCTGGCCCTTCCACACCACACCGTGTTAAAGGAAAAAAGAAAGGGAGGAAGAAAAAAAAAAAAAAAAAAAAAAAGGGAAAAATAATCTAGTCTTTTGTTAAGATTAGATGTTTCTATGTATTTTAATAATATATATATCCTGTTTTATAACAAAACTTATTTTAAATAAAGCATTAAAGCCATGCCTCCTTTGCTGCTGTTGCTTCCCCCAGGGCTCCGTGTCTTGCTCTGGTCGTAACAGGCTGGAGCCCCCTGCCTTGAGAGCTGCCAGAACTCAGGTGTGGAGCAGAGATCTGTCAGGAAGAAGGACAAGCCCCAAGCTGCTCTCAGGGCCAGGACCTGCCTGGCACAGCAGAACCTCCCACAGCTTTCTGCAAGGCGCTCAGGGAGCGTGGTCACTCTTACTCATGGCAGCCACTTTGTCACAGCGGCCTGGTGGCAGGAAGGGTGAGAATGTGGCCGGCTGCCCTGTGAGACAGAAGCTGAGGAGAGCAGGGGATTGAGGCATATAACACCACTTTAGAAAAAAATGTTACAAATGCTTTAATAAAATTCGTTATAAGTTACAGTTTCCTAGAGAACAGGCTCCAGTGTACAAAATGAGGAGACAGAGCTGGAGGAGCAGGGGAAGCACCAGCAGGAGCCTCTCTGCCCACGGGAAAGAAGAAAGAGGGGCAGAAAGTTCTGACAGACATTTATTGGGGAAAAAATGTCCCTACCAGTGGATGCAGAAAGACATCAGTCCATGTCCCTCCATTCCTCCACCCCCAAAAGGCAAATGCATATGACAAGTCCTAAAGAAGTCATGTATGTTAACAGATCCAGGCGGACCACAAATCCACCTTCTGGGGCGCAGGGTTACTTGCAGGGATGCAGAGAAGCCGGAGGACAACTTGTCCTCAGTATTATTGGCCCTTGTAACCACACCACATGCAGCGGCACGGCGTCCTGGCTGATGTTTTTTGCAGCAAGCTAAAGCGGCTGGTCCCACCTGCCTGCAGAAAGGATTTCCCTTTCTGCAGGGACAGAGCCCTTCTCCCCACAGCAGGCTTCAGTGGGGAAGGAGCTGCAGTCCTCAGTGTGTGCTGCACAGGGAGCAGCTCTGGCCACCAGAGCCAAGTGGCAAAAAACCAACAGCACGCGTGGGTGAAGGAGAAGTGGCAGCAGGCATGGAGCCCTCCACTCAGGGCAAGGTCAGCACACAGACGCAGCGCTTGATGGTGAGGTGAAGAGCTGAAATGAAGCTGCTCCACAACAGGGACTTTGTGCAGCCAAGTCCCCTCGCATCGCCCCGCTCCAGTCTTCCACCTGCCCCTCCAGGCACTGCTTCTGGACAGGCGGCCGGCCAGGCAGAGCTGTGTTCCCTGCTGTGCCGTGGGGAAGGATGAACACGCAGAGAGGTGCAACCCAGCCAGCCTGAGCACAGAGGGGAGCCTGGCCACCTGTGTTTGCCCTTGCGGAGGTGGCAGCAGTCACTCCAGCGCAGCCATGAGGAGATGCAGTTCTCTGAAGGCGCTGCCATGGCGGCCGCTGAGCCCGGACTTGTTCTTTACAATGTTGCTGATGTTCTTCAGCTGCTTATAGCACAGCCTGCATTTATGGAGCCTGTGAAAACAGCAGACACAGCATGAATGCTTAGCTGCATGGGAGATGTGCCTGTTCCCTAAGTGCTCGAGATTCATCTCAAGCAGGAGAGAAAATGCAAGCCCTGCAAATGGCCTGACTGGAATGAGAGCATGACTCTGCAGGAACAGCAGGTCTCCAGCCCGCATCCTGATGAAGCAGGAGAATGGCATCCTCACAAGGGCTCTTTCACGCCTATTTTGCCCTTTGGCAGTGAAGTCTGAGGAAGAAAGAGGTGCTGTTTCCGGAGAGCTGGTTCTCAGAGCAGGGTTACCCTGTGAATGAACTGGAAGCCCAAGGCCTAGCTGACAACTCCTGCGCTTTGTGAGGTGAAGGGTGCAGCCACTGGCTGGTTTTACTTCTGACATACCTGAGCTTTGTTTAGGTATGACTCATTACAGAGAAAGAGAGAAAAGCAGTCTTTGGCCTTTTCCTCTGAGCAGGAGAGGTTGGTATTTGCAGACAAAGGGAAAGGCATGCCTGGTCTAGCATCAAAACCTCGAGGAAAAGGAGCAAAGCTCAACCAGAGAGAGGCTGGTTTAAAAGGGAGCAAGTGGAGGCAGTAAGAGCTTACCTCTCCTCTCTGGTGATGTCCACTCCTACAGAAGGTGGTGCAGCAAGTATGTCGGTGATCAGCGGCAGGAATCTCTGCAGAATGAGTTTCAAGGAGGTGCAGCCCGTTTGCACATAACTGAAAAGCAAACAGAGAATCAGACCCCACCTGAACTTCATTCCTTTCCCACACACATCCAGTTGGGGGGGGGGAACGGGGACACAACATATTCAACCCCTTCCCTCCAGCACTTGCAATCAGATAAGGAGAACAGCAAGTGCCAATACAGTCTTAGTTGGAGCTGAGACTGAGAAGTGAGCCTTTTCCCAAGGCATACATCCTGCTAAGTGGGACTTTCCTGCTCAAGAGTAGACATGTCCTGCTGAGGGTACCTGGCAGGATCCTCTCTCCTAGCAGGAAAGGATAGAAAACCCCGTCTTAAGCAACATTCTGCCTTCCCACCTAAAGATGAAATTCAAAGCAGTGTTCTAAGTGCAACAAAGACTGCCGTGGGATTTCATTTCCCTTGTCCCAGGCTGACAGTTTCATTCTCATCAGTGCACAGAGCCCACTGGGTCTGTATCTATCAGACCCTTCCTGGCTCACAGCTACCTTCACCTACACCAACACACACCAAACCTAAACATCCTGCCCCTAATGAGGACTTCCTGCCCACACATTCTTCCCATATCATTTCCTAACACTCACTTGGCCACTCCACTGTTATCTTCCAGGTGTTGTACCAGCACCATGGTGTACCTGCTCTGAATTTCCAGTTTTCTTTCAGCCACAAAAAGCCCCGAGGAGCCCTCCTATCAGCACCCACACTTCTCCCACTGAACACGGCATGTTCTCATGGCCTCACCTTTCGTATTTACTTTGGAGAAGTTTTTCTATCTGAGGCAGAACGACAGTGCATAAATCCAACTTCCAGAGAGACCTGAAAAGAAAAGCATGTGTTGCAAGGTCGGAGCGTGAGGCTTTCCAAAGTTGAGCTGACACAAAAGAAGTTTTCTGGCAGAAATGTCCAGGTAGCTGAGCCCAAGTTTACTGAGCAAGTTCACTAACTCCCCCTTGTGACAGAAAGCAGCAGGTTCTGACATTTAATTTTCTCCCTGCAGAATCACTTCATGAAGCCGTAAGACTTTGATTTTCCATACAAGACATCATTTACCAACAGAAAAGGCTCTGCACAACTCCAGCAGTCAGTGGCACTGCAGAGCTGGAGATGAGACCACGAGCACACACATTTCATGCTGCCATGGCCAGCTGGACACGAGGCAGGTGCAGCACAGCACTCCTGACACAGCCAGAAAGCTCTTTGGTATCCCGGCAATCCAGCACTCACGCTGTCTGGTTGACAATGTTCAAGAGGTCCACAACAACAGACAGGTCGTTGGTTGCTACAGCAGAGTCCACAGAGCTCTGAGAGAGAAGGAGAAGAAAACTATTGCAAAGTCTGAATTGGCTAGAATGGTGTAATAAATACCACATGCCACGTTTCAAAAAGCACAGCAGAAGAAATGAAGAGACTCTAGGTAAGAGAGGATAACTCTCTCCGTGTTTCATTGTGACCTTTCAAGCCCAGCTGGGCCATGGCAGCACTTTGCAACACACCCCTGGGCACAGACACTGTAAGAGCCCATCTTTTCTATGGGGCAGTCCCACAGCAGCCCATGGAGCTGCTCAGCTGCTCCCCTCATGAACCTCAGGCTTCTGCACTCCTTGCCTTGAAGTCACTGGTGCTCCATACAGCCCGCACAGTGTCCAGATTCTTGTGACGGCTGGTGAGCACCATGCACACAGTCTTGTGGCCTTTCCTGATCTGGGACATGATTTCTTCATCCACGAGCTCAGTCTGGCTTTGGTTTTTCAGAGCCTGAAAATACAGACACCAGTAGAGGAGCAATAACAGAACAGGATGGTACAGAAAGGGAAAGAGCTTTCTCTGTCCTCGAGGAGAGTTGGTTTTGGTGTACAGAGGGCCAAGAGGCCTCCAAGATATAAGAGGTAATGACTGTCGTGAAATAATGCTGTATGTGTAATGGCACACAACAATTTTCTACATGAATCACTGTCTAGTATGCAGACTCATTCGGTGTCTTTGTCCCATCCCGTGTCCCCTGGTTTAATAACACATTCCTCAGGAGCATGGACCAACACTGCTGTGTTTGCATCAGCCTGCCATCACTGACACAAGGGGCTGGCTGGTCCAGCAGCCCTGAGGTGCTAACCCCACAGGAACTGCAAGTTGAAGCAGCTGGGAGGCAGGAGAGAAGCTGGCAAGGGAAGCACCATGTGAGCAGGAGGAGAGCAGAAGGGGACATGTTCTTTGCCTGCCGTGTTCAGTGCCAATGACTTCAGGCTGCAGAAAGCACTAAAAACCCTTCTGCACCTCCAAGAATAGCCACTTTCTGATGCCACCGACACCAAGAGAAACGTCTGACCAAAGATACTTACTGGTAGGAAGTCAGAGGCTTTCAGGCCAATGGGCTCGTTCCTGGCTGCAGGAATAACTGATGGCTCTGCCCTGGGCAGAGGAGTTGATGAAGCAATTGGTGGCCTCTGAATTGGCTCAGGCTGCAGGAGAAATTGGGACAGAAGTTCTAGCAGCAGGAACATGGCCGTAGCCTCATGCCTTCTTTCCCCTCAAAACAGTTTCCCATTTGCTGGTATGGGTTAGAAGGCAATAAAATATCCCTCAGGTACACATCAGGCTTCAATGGAGGTTTGCAAAGAACAGGCAGACACTCCAGCAGAAGTGCTGAATGCTGTCATTGTTACTGGCTAAAAAATGAGGGCAATGGGCCGCGGCCAGCCTGAAGGCAGAGAGAATTCTAAAGAAGCCAGAACATCCTGTCTGGCTCCCAGGAGCTGCTTGAGATTCTGGCTATCACAGCTTCAGTTTGAGTGCCTGCAGAAATGTAGCACCTGAGTTCACTTCAGAGTGCCCCTACTTGAGTTGAAGGAAGAAATATCATCATATGAGAAGGAAACAAATGCAGT